AAAATTATATTCTTTCTAAAAATGTTACAAAATGATGATGCCTAATTTTTGTTGAATTACACAGAAAGTGTAAAATTAATGTAATTTGACTTGTATGATGTAATTTTACATTACCTACTATGGTGTCAAAATAACCAATGATCTAGTAAGTAATTTTACAGAAAATTCTTATGAGTGTAATAATGTTAATTCAATAATAATTGTATCTATATTGTACAGAATATGACAAATTCTTTTATAAATTTTACACTTGAAATGGTAGTCTTTGCAAACGCAATTCCATGTGAATTTTTTCTGTTAATTTATGACTTAGAATATTTATCAAAGTCTGGCAGAGTTTTGTCCGCAATATAGAAACCCTGCAACAATATTTTCGCTGTGACTTCCCCAAAAGAGTTGAAAAATTCATTGCGGATGCCACACCTTTTACAGCCTGGTTCCAAAAAGCGAAAAACATCGGAATGGGTGAAAGTCACAAAAGTGCGAGTCGGTGAAAAAGTGTGTCACGTCTGTTTATAAAATTGTTATGTAAATTCCATTGCAATTTTGTGCATAAATAGCCTTAAACGACTCTGGCAAAATGTTACGGAATGTGGATTAAATTTTAGCGCTGATACTACAGGAAGAGATACGTTAGTTGGACTTATTCGAACAAATAATACTATATTCAATTCTTAATCACATTTTTCCTAGTCTTGAGCTTCTCTGTCTTTCGGATTAAAAACATTAAATAACGTTGCAAATCTCCTAAGACATCATCTGTTATTGTTTCTATCATGTCGCTTAAGTTAAAGACCAACACGAAATTTAGCCTGCATTTTAAATAATTGAACTTTTCAGTAGCATGTGTTAAAAATGGAATTAATAGATATATAAAACACAAAAGTTTATTATTTACTAATATTCAGATATCTAGTAAGTAATTAAGAGATAACTTGAAGAAACAAAGCCTAAAACAGTATTATATGGGGTATCACAAACTGTTCTGTTAATCGTAGACTACTTGGGTGAAAATAACGGGACTCATTTTTAATTTGGACGCGTCGATTTCAAGATATTATTAAAGTAATAACTCTTTTTATGTAAAAACACAGAGACAGGTCGAGTTTATTTTGTTTTTAGCCGTTTTTAGCGTGCATCCGATTTTTTTACAGAGTGATTGTAAAAAGGCCTGTGTATTTCTACAGATTTGGATAGAACGTTGTTTCACGAATAAAGTAATGTAGATATTGATGGGTCTACCTTTAATAATAACGGAGATATAACCAAGAGTGCTCAATAAACAGAAGGCAAAGAAAAAAGTTTAATACAGTAGAACCTCGATAATCCGAACTAATTGGGACCGGGTGTGGTTCGGACTATCGAATCGTTCGGATTACCAAACAAAGTGCTTTCCAGGCATAGTAGCATACAAAAAATGAACACTGACATACTATTTCCCATAAAATAAGGAGCACGTTGTATTGTTAAAGGTACAAAATAGTTTGTTTTATGAAATACATAGGTACTACTGTGCTACAGTAAGGTAACTATATTTTATGCAATGTATTGCACATGAATTGCACATTTTTCCCAAAACGGCGTTCGGATTATCGAGCGTTCGGATTACAGGGGTTCGGATTATCGAGGTTCTACTGTATATTAAGAACAAACGAATTCCAGTTGTAAATTAAATTAAATATTGTTCAACAAACGAAATTAAAATATTATTCATTTAAACAAAATGTTGGGAATGCCATACATCAGCTTCTTGGCAAAAAGCAAACATATGAACACGTTCTTATACATACATAAAAAAGTAACAAATTTGCATGAAACATTTTTATAATGCAGATTTCATCCTGAAAAATATGAATCAATTATTAGAAACATGACTGAATGATGATAATGATGATGATGATGGTGATGATGATGATGATGATGATGATGATTTTAATGTTTTAAACCTAGGATTTTTGGAGTAGCCTCTGAATTTGGAGTCCTCCGTTTAGTTAACAGTGACAGCGACGTTTCTGTTTTTTTTCAGAGGTGACAGATTGTTATGGTACTTACAGGATTCTGGCGGATTTTTATGAGAGATTATCGTTTTGTATTATCTCGAAATATCGGTATTAATTCTAAAAAAAATAAAATTAAAGAAAAATAAATGTTCCAAAACGTTCTTATTTTGTATACACAAATGAATAGGCGATCTTGAGAATTTCAACTCAATCCGTTGAGCGGTTTTCAAACTATGTATATGATTGTTAAATGCGAATATTTGTCTCCACCATTACAATGCAATGACGTCACCGCATGGGACGGTCAGCCGACTTGGCGCTACTTCCAGATGAGTTTCTGCATCTACAGATTATGGATTTTTAAAACAAAAACCACGACTTTATCAGTGCCGAGATGAGAGGAGTGAAAACGCAAAGGTTACGTTTCAATAACGTGCAAAGCTTCTTTAAAATACGTTTGTAGCGAAAGTTTTGATGTTCTTGTACAATACGAATAGTAAATAAGAATAAGGATTTTACGTTTAATTGGACTAAGCCGTTTCTGTCACAGGTTTCAAAGATTTACCTAATTAAATACAAAATTCTTATTACTATTTTTATTCCCATGGAAAGTACATAAAATCTACCTAATACCTTATAAATATATTAATAATACAATATTTATTATGTGTTTTTATATAAATACGTAGTACCTATAGGTAAATTTGTATAATATTCACAAAAAAGTCAGCAATGGAAAACACAAGTGGATAATGTTTCTAGAGGATACAAACGTAATTATTACATACCTAAATTACGCAGGATAGTTTTGTTGCTTTCAAAATATGTCATTTTTCAAATAAAAGATATTAAAAAAATATATAGAGACTAATAGACTATTGATTTTAGATCCGCACGACAGAATTACGGGGACATTATTATTTTCTTAGGCGTCTTCAAACTAGTGCTCTCACATTGGGGAAAAATACAATATTTGTAATTTTTTTCTATTCTATGTCTTCCATATTGCTAACAAAATTCGGTATTCGCATGCGGCATCGGTTTCCCATGCGGTGACGTCACACCGCCGGTACAGCGGATACTCAGCGCGTCAGCTATTGATTTATTTTTTGAATGACTTGTAGGTGGTATTGTAACCTGAGGGATTATTTTTTTACTTATCTATCTACCGCTATGACCAGTATCACAAAAGAGTTTACTATTAACTTCGCGAAAGGGAGTTTATAATTATCATTACATTTTAATTAATACGTGGGAACTTAAAAATGTTGTACGTTCAGAGAATGAATACCAGACACTTACCGTATGTCGCTCATGTACAAGGTAATCCAGTGGTTGGTTGTATAGGGGGACACTTAAGTTGGAAGAACAAGAAAGAAACACCAAAACTTCTAGGAAGGGTTTTAATAACAATAAAAATAGAACAAACAAACAAAATAGCGACACAACGGGTTCGAACAACATTATTAATTAATTTATTGACACGCGACAGCGTACCGAGATTCAGGGAATGCGCGATCCATAGCAAAATTTGGAATGACTTTATCCATTATTAAATTAACCCGAGACTCTAAAACTAAGTAGACTGCTCAATGTGGCACCCAAGGAAAAACTGCCTTTTTTTTGAGATCTCTCCTGAATTCGACACCTCGCTTCGACACGCCCATTTCTTGGATCCATACGTTTCTGTTCTTATCTTACTGGCGGGAAACCTGAATATCGGGACGCTTTGGCATAACTATGCCATGTTAATAGTTATCTAATGGACTGAATTTACATTTATATAAATAATTCTGTGACTAACTGGACTTACAAGTAACCCTAGCCTTCCTCTAGTGACTTCGTGTAGCAATACGGGACGGATTAGTCGATCTCATTTAATCTATTCTTATAGCTTGGAAAATCCGTCTAAAAACCAGCTATTTGATTATTATTATTTTTCTAACAACTTATTCTTGGAATTCCTACGTTCTTTGGGATGCATTTCGCGCGTTATTTGAAATATCGATTTTTCTCCTTATACCAGATGCTCAACACATGGCCCCGACAGTCTAAGTGAACTTGTTCAAAAATACTGTTAAATTTCATGAAGCCTTCTCCGAAGGACGGCCTAGTGACGACGCTAAACCTACTTGAAAATCCTTAACTTTCCGATAAATTAGTGTTTACTGAAATATTTTACTTTTTGGCCCATTCGTTCCGAGAACTAATAAATAAATTACCACGCGTCCAGGCATTTGTTACAATATAAAATTCCAATTTTTTGCAAAGAACCTTAAAATTGCAATATCTTTCCGTTAAGCAAATAAAAAAAAGTGCTGAATGAGCCCATTATCAACCGTCGCAAAATACATTAGGTGGCTTAAATTAGTTTTCTGTTCTTTTTGAGAAGAAACTCTTTTTTTTGGGTCCACTGCAATGTAGTTCCTCAAGACCCGTTCCAATATGATCAAAAATAGGAAAAGTACTAGTCTTCTCTTAAAACTTCAATTTCTCTGATGAGGCAAGATTGAATTGGGCATTTGGTTTTATAAAATTTATCGAAGTTATCCAGTCCAGTTCTTGAATGAGTTCTGAGTAACTTCGACTATTTCGAACGGTCAGCTTTGCTCTAGCTGATTAATTTTTTTTTGCCCTATACTCTTTAACACTACTAAACTTAAAACCTACCCAATTCTTAACTAAAACGATTAGTATAATGAAAAGATTGCACTTCTGTCTACGTCATTTTACTGACAATTGTGCGAACTTTTATGACAAGTGTGCCGAGAAAATAACAAGGAAATGTACAAACTCGAAATTTTATTATCATGTGCCGTTTTGGACTATGACTTTGAAGTAGCTGTGAAGTGTTGAAACGCATTGTTTAAAACCAGCTGATGCTCGGTTGCCCTGTATACACCAGATGCAGTATTTAAGTAAACACCGCCCATTCGGTAGCTTTGAGGTCAAGCTAGATGAGATTGGAAACCGGCGTAACCCTTAGTAGGCCATCAGAAATACCACTCTCTACTACAGTCTACTGCGAGTACCAGCAGTACCGGCTAACGGAGTCCAAGTCAGTTCTTGACAGACCGCGTCGAGAAGTGCGCGTACCACTTTAGAGAGGTGCTACGAACGCATGTGCAGTGCTTGAACGGTACTCTGTGTGGGTGAGCGTTGTTTTGGATATCTGGTTGTTGATCCTGGTACTCCAGACTAGAAGTCTTCTAGGGGAAATTCGGTAAAAATCTTGTTTCTTTGGGGTAATTGGGCTATGGTATAGACCAGATTTCTTTTCTTGTTGTGTTTACTTTCTAAGAAGTCTGTGGATATTGAAATCTAGGTACTTTATATAACGAAACTGCAAGTGGTACTAGTACCGTTTCAAAATATTTGTTGATTTCTTGGCACTATACTTCGTGTAAATAATAGTCTAGTTAGTATGTGGTACAAATTTTTGAAAATTGGAAAGCCTTATTAAGAAAAATTGTTAAAACTGAAAATAGCAGATCTGGTTGGTTGATGTTATACAGGGTGATTTCACTTTAAATACAGAAACTGTAGGAATATATTAATTGCCAAAAAATAAGTAGAGTTTGCTCTATAAACTTTTTTTATGGGAGACACGGTAGTCGATACAGTGTATTAAAGTTTACAAAAAAAATTAAATTTTCTGTCAAAATTATTTCTACAAAAAACCGCCAGTGGTGTATTATTTTCTTGAAAAAAGTTGGCAGTCGCTTTAGTAGTTAAAACCAGGAGGTTATACGAGTATTTCATCAAATAAAATGTTTCATTTATTAGAAAAATTCAATAAAACGTAAAAACAAACCCAAATATCTCCTAAACGGTTGCTATTATTAAAAAACACAAAGAAACATTTACTTAACGTAATAGTACCTGTATGTAACATTATTTTTACAAAAAACCGCCACTGGCGTATTTTTTTCTTTGGAAAATAGGGCGGCATCTTCAGTAACGCCACTGGTTAAAGCTGCTAGGTTAATATTACATTCAATAAAATGTCTAATTAAGTGAAAATGCTGTAGTAAATTTCATCTAATTCCGTAAGCGCGTTTTAACGATGTGAAAGAAAATTAATTTTTTTTTTGTAAACTCTTACCACCCTATATCTCGAATACCGCGTCCCCCAGGACTATACTTGTTTTTTGGCAATTAATCGATTCCTGCAGTTTCTGTATTTACTGTGAAATCACCCTGTAGTAATACCAACGAAATAAATATTATACGGGGTGTTTATAATGCTCGGCAAAACTGTAACGGTAGATTCTATGTCATAAACCAGCAAAAAAGTTCTTATAAACATTTCTCTGGAAACGCTTCAATTTCAGTGTAACAATTTGAAAAACATCGATGTCTTTAAATTACAAAAAAAAACCGGCTGCAGAAATTTCAATAAAATTTGACAAGTAGTTTTTATTTTTGGCTACTCGATGGGTGTAGGTAAATCTAGAGGCCGACACAGTAATTTTTGCTGCGAATTTTCCAAGGTATTTCAAATTTTACTTACCATTTTTAATTATTGATTAGTTCCATAGGTTGACGTAGTCAAATTTCACCCACTATTATGTAATTATTTATTTCTTTACTTAAAAGCTCTTAACATTAAACAGAAGGAAGCGTAATAATAAACGAACATAGAAAAATTCAAAGGGTGCAATAATATGTATACATACACAATGAATATAAAAGATATAAAAGGACTATTGATAAATAATCATGTAATAAATAAAATCAAATATTCAACTTGTTACTGACAATGAAATATATTCACCTAATAATGTTTTACAAAAAAATTTTCTTATTGCATGTTACTAGAATGCACCATTTTTTATTAATTATAATTTATAACACTGATATTTATTTTCAATGTCAGTTTCTTCTTAATTATACAGGATGTAAGAAGTTTATGTTTTCTTTATGTTTTCGCCTCATTCGGTCAGAAATCGTATACATACGTATACATTTTTTCAGATTTTTTAGACCGATTTTCTCAATTTGACCTACAAATGACCTCGACATGACCTTGATACGACTTTTAGATGTACTTAAATGGTGAAATAACAGCGGCTTTGAACTCAGCTAGCCCAAAAACATACGTATAAATTTTTGCAGATTTTTTATACCGATTTTCTCGATTAGACCTTCAAATGACTTTGATATGTCCTTCAGGGGTAAAACTGACAGCGGATTTTAACTCAGCTACTCCAAAAACATACGTATAAATTTTCTCAGATTGTTTAGACCATATTTCTCGATTTGACCTCCAAATGACCTTGATACGACCTTTAAATGTCTTTGAATGGTAAAAATAGCAGCGACTTTGAACTCGGCTACCCCAAAAACATACGTATGAATTTTTTCAGATTTTTTAGACCATTTTTGATCATTTGACCTTCAGTTGACCTTGAACCTGACGTGATGGAGCTTAGCCAACCTCGGATTCGGAATCAGCGATCCAAAAAACCTATAAGTACCCTGGTCAGGTCCGGTGATTATTCTTAGATCAAATGTTGACCTGTGTTATTGTTTTCCGGTTTTTACTACTATTAAGATATGCCAGAAATAGTATATACGATATCTTTATCGCTAAACGTGTTTATCTCGAAAAAGATTAGTTATATCGATAACAAACAGGTATACCTTTTTATTCAAAAGTCAAAACGGGTACAGGAATTAAAAAAGTAGTTTCACAAACTTTTTTGGACGGCAAGTCTGGCAAAGGCGTTTTTTCTTTCTATCCTCCAAAGTAGCTATCAGTAAATTGAATATGTTGATTGAAGTAGCTTCAAATAAATTATGTTTCGTCCAAATTTAATGAGAAACAAAAAAGTTACATCGAAAAATCAATTTTTAAGAACTTCAAGCTCTAATAATTCTAAAGATGAGTCCGAATAAACAAAAATTATATGAACAAGGCCTACTTATATCCCAATTTCCTAGATACCCTCTATATAACTTCTATTTTGTTTTCTTTGATATTATACGTTCAAAGGTTTTTGATTAAAAGTTTAAGACAATGATTGCTTAGTAAAACATTTTAACTTTAAAAATGAAAGGAAATCGTTTTGCGGAAGCCACTCCATTCAGTTTATTGTTTCAGTTGAGAAAATTTATACAGGTAGTAGAACAATCGACATATTTTATTTTCGTGATTAAACATAAAGGCAGATTTTCACTTCATGTAATACTGCGAGTTTCAACCAAGATTTTTTTAATAACCATCCGACGCTTTCTAGGCATTCTTCAATAAACAACATCTCCGATTTCATGCTTTTTCTGAATTTATATAACGCTCAGTTTCTCTGTCGAGCTCTTGTTTCGTCTTATAAAACTTTTCAACAAATTCGTCAGCTATTTTTAGTCTCATGACAGGTAACAGATTCTTGATATAGTATTCCCTTCGTGTATATCTCAAGTTCCGACGAAAACAAAAGCAGGAGGCGTGAATTCAGCATACTGAAAAAATATTTTCTACAAATGTTATTCAATAACTTTTGTGCGTAAAATTCATACAACTGTATATTATTAAATCAATGATGGTATGTTTAAATTATGCGTTGATTGTGTATTACTTATATACTTCTATTGCAAATTTATTTTTAGTAGTTATATTTGATTTAATTAGTTATTTTCTTTAATAATTATGTCATGAAGTAGGTACATTAAAAAATGTAAACTGTACTATGAAATAAATATGCAATTTAAATACAGTTTTATTTACAATAATCTTGAGGAGTAAAAGTTGCCATTGTTACAATTTTGCATCACAATCTTAACTAACATGATGGTTCTTGGTAAAAGAGCTTTTGAATTAAAGTGTGATTCTATGATTCTTTTCAATTAGTAGATATTATCAAATTGTAGGTGAGAACTAGAAGAGATTTTCAAGAATTTATGAGCACCGGGCATTTTCCTACAGTCTAAATAGTATTTAGTAGTAGCTAATACTGATGATAATAACATTATGCATACCTGCTTCTCATTCTAACCTAAAAGATTCTGTGGCGAAGGGGCGGCGTATTGTCATTATCTGTTCTCATTGGCTGAGACTAAATTTCTATAAAAGTTATACTGTTTTAGAAAAAAATACATATGTGGACGATGTCGGAAGCCATCTGTGACATACTCGCTATTAAATTATGATTGGAAAGACCGAATATGAAGAGAGAAATTGTGTTTACGAGTCCCAGCGCACATCACCTTTAAAGAAAGTGTCCACAGACACCGCTCGACGTATCGCAATGATTTATCGGTGGATTGTGTTGGAATTTTAAAATGTATTTTCCTTCAATATTTGGCAACCGCTATTTATGCAATAATAACTAACGTGCTTTATTTTTGGTGGACCTGGAATACGTAATACGGTGATTATAATGCAAAGTAATCGGTTTGGGTTCTAAAGGTTACAAGAAAAATTTAGAATATGATTATTATACAGGGTGTTTCAGGATTAAGTCGACAAACTTTAAGGAGATATTCCTCATAAAAAAAATAAGAAAAAAATCAAGTATAGGGCGTTAAATATTTAAAAAAACAAATCGAATTTTTTAAATAACTTCTAAATGAAGAAGGCTATTTAAGCCAAATTTGGCATGACACATCTTCTTATAAGATACCATTTTTCCATAGAAGTAGAAGTCCCGCAAGCAATCAGTGGCGGAGTTATGGGGACACAGACTCATTAAATTATAAAAAAAATTAATGCGTCCCTACTGAAAATAAAAAATGATGCTGTCATTTATTAAAATTTATTAAAAAATTCGAATTTTTTTTTTAAATCTTTAATGCCCTATATTTCGAAAATGAAGCGTCTCTGGAAAAAAATTTATCCTTGATTTTTTTCTTATTTTTTTTTTGTGAGGAATATCTCCTTAAAGTTTGTCGATTTAATCCTGAAACACCCTGTATATCATAATCATGTTATAATCATTTTTTTAAATACAAATTGGTATTACATTTTGAGCTATAATATATATTACTTTATTTTATTTATATTTCGACTTTTCTATTTTAATTAAGGCTACAATTATTTATTTTCAGAACGCTTTTTATTTCAAAATTACCAGCGCATTCACTAAAATATCGAAAAGTTAGCAACTTTTTTTAAAGGGTAAGGAATTAAGAATAGTTCTTCAAAATTTGTATTCATTCTGCTGTAACTATTTATCAGAATTACTTACGAGATGTTTCTAAATTGTTTTTCCCAATGTGTTAATA